CACCACCCTAGACCCCCTCATAGCCCCCCCTTCTGATAGTCCGGCATATCTGATAATCCGGCACCCCCTGGGTCCTAAAGGTGCCTGATTATCAGAAGTTTACTGTACTTAGATCCATCTCATCTTGGTAGATACTTTCCAAAGCCAGTAATATCGGCTGGAGTAATTTTGAGACAATAGCCAAGGATCACTCATGAGAAAGCCTGTGGGTTTTCCCAGGTTGGACTAATTTGAACTTCAGTCCCAGTGTATCTTCTATAGTTTCCAAGCTATTCAGTCTTTTGGACTCTTACTGAAAAAAGAATATAATGAAGAACATCAAATTTATAGCTTTTTTAATGTCTTGAAGATTCTGCAGCTCGTACTAGTGCTAGTTGGAGTAGTTGGCCTCTGCAGTGTGTATAGGAAAGATTAGGGTTATACTTTTCTGAGCAAAGCTTGTACTCCACCATGTCTTCCAGAGAAGTTTGCAGCTCCATCTAATGCACAAGCAACAGTCTGTTTGAGGTCCAATTGACAAGCATTAAACTCTAAGATGTGGGTTGTCACAGATGCAGCCGATGTGTTTTCTATAACTTGAACATCTAGAAATGCATTTACTGGCCTACCACTGACATCAAGATAACATACACAGTGACTTAATACTTGATGCCCATTTCCATTGGTGCATTCATCAGCCATGTATGCAAATTTTTTGAATGTGGTGAGAGAGTTCTTCACTTTTTCAACTGTTGAGTCTTTCACTGTTGCACCGCATGCTTCTAGCCAGTCAGCTGAGTTTCTTGCAGAAAGATAGTAAGCATTTGCTGGTCTTGTTTGGAACCAGTGTTCAGCTTCAGGATGAACAAGTGACAATGCACTTAACATTGGCCTCCAGTTTGTAGTGTGTGGTATTTCTTGCTTAAATAGAAAGTATGATGCCACAGCCATGTTTGTTTGCATGAACTGTGTTGTGTCTCCAGCATTCTTAACAGCCTCATTAAGTACTTCTAAAATTGGCTTTGAAAGTGGGTTTATAAGGCTTTCTGCATGTTGATACAGTCCAGAGGCCTGGTGTTTTGCTGCCTTTTCACGTAGTTTGTCAGCATTGGCTTTGCTGATCGGTCTGACAAACCAAGCTCCTCCACTTTTACCAGTTATAGCATTGGAAAGCTTTCCTTCTTCGTAAGTTTTTTTGCAAGAGGTGCACCAGTAGCCATCTTTTGTAACTTCAGTAAATGGGAACACTTTGATCAACAAACATCGGGAACTACATTTAGGTTTTGAAGACACTGTTTCTTCAGTAGGAAGCTGTATTTGTGCTTCGGGCTGGTCGGATGTAGATACACCACTTGACCCTTCAGATGACATGTTGATATATTCTTGGTTCTTGATATGTTCTTCACCTTGGTTAGTTTTTGAGGCCTTTGAGTGGAAAAATTGTTGTATTGTTTTTTGTCTTTTCATTTTCACTTTGACCTGCAATGTATAAAAGAGATATGAATAAATTAAATGTTTTGTTAGGATAATGCAAATTTAACATAAGGATAATACAAAATAAATCAAAACACATAACAGAAAATATCATATTGCCTTTATGTAAATCCATGGTACGCGCACACCTTGAATACTGTGTGCAGATCTGGACACCCCATCCCAAAAAAGATATATTGGAATTGGAAAAGGTACAGAGCTGGGCAACTAAAATGATTAGGGGTATAAAACAGGAGGAGAGATTAAAATGACTGGGAATTTTCAGCTTAGAAATGAGATGACTAAGGGGGCATATAAAATCTTGACTGGTGTGAAGAAAGTGAATAAGGAAATGTTATTTAATCCTTCACATAACACAAGAACTAGCAGTCACCCAATGAAATTAATAGGCAGCAGGTTTTAAAAAAAAAACAAAAGGAAGTACTTCTTCACACAACATAAAGTCAACCCATGGAGCTCTTTGCCAGGGGATGCTGAGAAGACCAAAACTATAACAGGATTAAAAGAAGAACTAGATAAATTCCTGGAGAATAGGTCCATCAGTGGCTATTAGCCAGGATGGGGAGGGCTGCAATACCATGCTCTGAGCCTGTTGCCAGAAGCTGGGAATGGGTAACAGGGGATAGATTACTTGATTACCTGTTCTGTTCATTCCCTCTGAAGCACCTGGTCTTGGCCACTGTTGGAAGACAGGATACTGGGGATATATGGACCACTGGTCTGACCCAGTATGACCATTCTTATGTAAAAATTAATTATAATAAAAATGTTTAGTACAGAAACTCCCCAACATAATGACCTCTCAAGATAGCAATGATGGGAGATGATAAACTTAGCAAATAATGCATTTTAAAAATCTTGGCCTACTAGGAAACACATTTATTTAAGTTTCCATTCCCAGTCACAAATCTAGCATTCTGGAGCAAAGTCACTAAAATATAGTCCAACAAACAAATGTTTATTTAACGTGCCCCTCATTTTCCCCTCCACCTCACCCCACTCACCGGTGTTGTTCTTGGTCAGTGGAGACTCAGAGATCAGAGGTGCATTCACGTGAGTGTACCTCCCAGGTAGGGGACAAGAAGGCACCTTGCTTGTTCATCCAGCTGCTCACTGTTTGCTCTGGCCATTGTTGTTCATTGTGCCACCGTTCACTCCATCGCCCTGTTGCCAATAGCCCTGCACTGTCACCTTCTGCTGCCACCTGCGAGTTGGTCTCTTGAGGTTCCACCCAGCTCTCAGTGATTTCAGCTGAGCTCTCAATGGGGGAACCTTGCTTCTAGTGCAGTCTTGGCTCTCTCTTATGCAAAAACAATGTACCCACAGCAGGACTAAGCACTTAGAGCTGATTATCAGTGATTTCAGCTGTAGTGGTCACTTAACAAAACAAAAGACTATATATGGAGCTTAATCAGCTCTGTCTTTAAACAGTGGAGAGAGGCAGGTCAAATAGTACTTGTGACTCAGACCATCAAGTGAAACACCTGTCCCCACCCCCTCTCTTGATGCCCTCAATCAGTACAGGTTAAGTACAGTTCTACTGCCCTTTACTCATACAATAAGAACAACAACATTTCATTGCCCCTCCCCCCCTCCCCCCCAAATGATTTGTAACCCAACCCCAGCCAAAATCTATCACTTGGGCAACACAGCTCTGTTTGCTGGATACCTAGGTAGATTAGGTGTGAATGTAAATACAATCTGGTCCTGAAGCCTTTTCCCCCAACCCCCGCTCATCACTAGCTCTCAGGGAAAGCTCATTTTGTCTTTGCTTACAAATCATAATTTGAAATTATTAGGTTGGCCAACATCTCCAAAATGAATGCACTGACATTGTCATAAAAAACAACAGCTGTATAAGGAAGCTAGTCTGTGTTCATACTTTTCAAATCTTTTATACTTTTTCAGATACACATATCTTATCATACACTGTATATGCTTTTAAAGTGTGTATTAATGTTTCAATTTCAATTCAAATTTCCAAACAATCACTAAATTGGCATGTAACCAGTTCACAAAACTGGGAGGGTGTTGGGGAAATTCAGGGGGTATACACCCCCATGGGAAATCCCTGGGGGCTGCAGAGGATAGGACTTCTCCTCCTACAAGGAGAAACTGATGCTGTGTCAGACCCATCCCCTAGAAACTTTCCCCAGCTTCAGGAAGCTCAGTATCCTCCTCTGCTTCCTCCCCACATAGTTCCTCAGGTGGGTGGGGTAGGTGTCTCTGTACAGTTTGCTGCTTCCCCATCCACCCAACCACCAGTCATCTGAATCTCACATACGCAGACACTTCTGCCATGCCTCACCTTGTACATCCAGAACCCCCATAGCTATTTATACCCCAAGCTCCACCCCACTGAACCTCAAGCAGTGTCCAGACTAGCGCACTGAGCGGACAAACAGCTGATCAGCTGTTTGTCAGCTCAGCGCAGCAGCCATGTAAATGTAAATGAAGCCGCGATCATTTAAATTGCGGCTTCATCTGACTTTGCCAAACAAACAAATCTACATGGCTCCGTCGACAGAGCCATGTAGTTTAGACATACCCTTGGAGTCCTGCCTGGTAGCAAAGAGATCTATCTGTGGTCACCCCTCTGTGTGGAACAGCTTGTGGGTGATCTGATCATGCAGTTCCCACTCGTGTTCTGTGAGGAAGTTGCAGTTGCGGGTATCTACCATAATATTCTTGTCTCCAGGCAGGTATTCTGCTGAAATGGTAATATTGTGGTGGAAGAGTAACTTCTCTTTGTGATGTCTGACTTCTTTCAATCTATCTGATAAGTTTAAGGATTCTATCTGTACTGTATGAGGATTTGAAATGATATAATTAAGTTATATTCATAAAAGAGTTTGAGGAGTCTTTAAGGTTGCAATTACACACTATGGCTCACCAACCTCAGCTGCAAATAGTTCCTGCTCAGAAGATTGGTAAGACGATTGCATGACAGGAGAGCAATCCCCCTTTGTTGTGGAAAGATACTACTTATGCCTGCACATGAGTGACAGCCATTGATTGCCTTGCTGCATGGACTGCCTCCAGGAAGGAAAATATTGAGGCCATTCTTATTACATCCTTTTGACATTTTAGTGCAATAATTTCATACCAAATATTACAAATATTCAAATCTTCACCAGAGGAATAGTTGAGCAGTAAGTTGATATCAGATATATTTACCTGTGGACTATATTGGCAGAGATTGTGTTTTCTAAATGCACCATTAGTGGCTGCATAAAGGTTAGCCAGTATTCTCTGGATTGTATTAGACAACTCTGACCAAGAAATACACTTGCTGGATTTGATTTTACATTTGACGGTGATGTTTCCCATTATGACTTAAATCAAAATCCTGTTTTTTGACTTTTCTGTGATATGGCAGTCAAAGTGCAAAGTGTAATAATCTCTATTACACTTAGCAGTTGGAGGTTTGTTGATACCAGTAAATGCTTTATTAGACAGAAAAATGTTCCAGCATCACCACTTCTGAGAGGCTGCTGAAATTTTCCCATCCTTGCTAAGGAGATAGCTCTGACAGTACTTTTATTAAACAACAATATTGAGTTATATCAGTAACAGTAGCAGGGGACAATGATTTCATTTTCTGCAGAAACATCACTTCAAATCAGTCATAAGTCCTGCGAACATAAATGATAGCCCGATATTGTCTTCTATTCTTATAATAGAGTGGAGCTGGTATGCGCTTCCATGAAAATAAATTTGTGCCAATTTAATAGGTACAGGTATTGAGGAAAGACAGAACAAATTATTTCATTTAAATACTCCAGCAAAACTTATCTATAGTTCAAATATGAACTTGGGGTTGCTTCTCACTTTTGTTATAGAGCATTGTGGCAAAAGAAAAATGACTTCATGTTTTCTATGATAGGTAAATAAATAGCCCATTGAAGAAACCCTGTGAAATTACTAATGTTGCAGTGAATATGTGCTACCAGAATTCAGTCAAATGATTTTTTTGGGTGGGGAGAAAAAGGAAGTGAAACAGGGCCAAGAGCTACACAAAATTATATAGTGATGTGTGTAAAATATGGGAGAAAAATATGTATCTGAGCAAATAACAGGTTCTATAGCCCATGCTACTTCCCACTGCCTTCCTCAGAAATTGATCTATAGTTTAGTTATTCTTGCTTTTTACATGTGATTGGGATCTTAGATGGTATGGACCAAGGCCATATTTGCTCCTTTCTCCCAAGGGTGAATCTTTCTTTCCCCATTATGCAACTTGGAGTCTATAGGTAGTAGTGAGGCTGCACACGCATAGAGATAATCTGTATGACACACATCTACAGCCAGGGCAGCCAATAGATTTTTCCAGGTCCTGGGCAAGGTGGAGGGGGTGTGACTCAGGGCCCCCCAGAAGCGGTGGGAATCAACCAGAATGGGCAGGGCTGGGAGCTAGCTTCCCCCGGCAGCTCTTCGGTGCCTCCTATTTAGGGGCGTATGCTTGTGGCGTCCCTTTAAAAAGATACAGAAGTGTGCAAATCCTTTATGTTCTGCTCCTTCTGTGCCAGCCAGGGTAGTGCAGGATCAAAACCAGGAGTATTTACATGCGGAGACCTGAACGGTACAGTGGTAATACTGCTGTATAATACCAGGCTATTGTTTGAATGGTTTCATTTCCTGCTTCTCAACATGGATTCAAAGTGACATTTTTTTCCAAAGGAAATGCTCACAAAACTGTTTCATATTGGATATATCCATTTTTATTGCCCTTTAGGATTGTTTGCCTCTCAGAGAGCCTGCCGAAGATGATGAATTGTTGGTTTTCAGCTCAGGAATGGCACCATGCCCAGTTATGTAGACACATTGTATGACATTGCACTGAACTAACATGTCTGAAAATGTAAAGAGACATGAATAGCTACAGAAAAATATATTTTAATTAAACTATATTTTAATACTTCATGTGTTGCGTGTAAGTTTTTTAAATTACCCTATTGCAACCTAACTTTAAGGCGGTGGATGTATTTTGTCTTTTCTGCTTGCAGCAGGTAATTCACTGCAATATTTGTGTTTTGCCTTTTTTATGTGCATTCACACCATGTTCAGAATAAGATTATCTGAACTTTGGTGGGCAGAATATACCTCACTATTCTTTGATGGAAATCTTTAACTTAAAATTCATGATGAGAGACTACATATGCATATTGGTAATTGGCTAGCCATGTGGCACATTATGTACTACAGCAGTCACTTTTGCAGTGCTTGGTGTTTCCAGCTTTTCAAAGAGTCTTTAGGGACTGATGTTTAAAGCCTCAGACAAAGAGCCAGGCCTATATTCTGAGTTCAGACTACATATAAGAGCTGTAGTTGCCCTTTTATATAACAGTTCAATAACTTTCTTGATTCTCCAGAGACTTGTCACAGAGAAATTAAAATAATGTGACCAGAAAGATCTGTTTTAATGCATTCATGTTACCATGTGCTTCTGTGAATTTAACCATTACACTTTTATGGTCTTCGAGAGGGATTACAAAGAGGGCATTTGATCCCCATAATGATCAACTCTAATAATCTCTGTTCTAACATAAATTCTTACTAAATACAGTCCTCTAACTTCTACACTTACTGCAAGTTTAAAATTGTTGTCTTTCTAAAGTTGTCATAATTTTAGATATTTTGTGTTTTCAGATGACCTTCCATTTCAATTCAGTTCAATGCCTTAATATAATAATACACAATTCCTCTTTCTCCATGATTTACTGCTCATCAAAATTCTGATTCGGTATTAGAAAACTTTGAACAATGTAAGGAACTTTTGCTGAGTGTCAGGGGGTGAGCCCCGGTCCTAGAGCGGACTTGCCCTGGCTCAGGGGAAAATACGGCCCTCTGGCCTAATCTCAAAGTTCAATGCCCCTTGCTCAGGGGAAATATGGCCTTCTGGCCTAGTTCCTAGGTAAGCCCCTCCCACAGTCTTGGAGGCTGCATAGTGGTGGGGTGGGGAAGTAGGGGGACCTGGGCACTCCTACTCCACCGGGTCCCAGCCCAGGGCCCTGGTGGCAGCGACAGTTTTCACTGCCTGGTCGGGTGCCTGCTGGAACACGCCGACCTCCCGGAGGCCAATCGCCTGCCCTGGGCTCCTTCCTACCTCTTCCCCCCACTGTGCAGGATCCTCTTGGGGCTGCTCACCGGGTCAGACCCAATCCGGCACTCTCCATGCCTCACGCTGTCGCTGAGGCTGGGGCTACTCCCGGGCGTCTGGGGCTATGGGTGCTGCTCCTGGGCAGGTGCGGCGGCGGGCGCTGCGCCTGGGGTGACAGCGGTGGTAGGCATGGCTCCTGGGGTTGGGGGGGCGGCAGCAGCAGCAGCAGGCGCTGCT